TTTTTTTATCAAACATCTTCCAGGGTAAGAAGGCTCCTGGCGTGAGTTTGCGCCTGGGTAGCTTTAGGTTTTCTCGGCAGGTTTGAGAATTGCTGGGATGTAATGGCAAAACGCGATGGAAGCGCAGCGGCGTTACCGGGAAGTCGCTGTTGGTCTGTGCTCCTTCCTACGCGAGCTACGTGGAGCRTTTTCGTGTTTCAAGAGCTCAGAGGAGTTTCTTGGTCATCTCATAGCTTGCCAAGATGGCAGAAAGTCAGTGTGTCCTGAAATCGGTGAATTTCGGTGCACAAAACACCTTCTGTAGACGGTGTGTGAACTTTATGCAGCCTGTTAGTCTCGATTTAATTTCACTCAGTGCGTGTAGTCATATTTTAGTAAAAAAGAGCGTTTTTTTATGATGTTTTTTGTGAATGGATAGTACTGTTATCCTCGAAAATTTTAAGTCYGTTCTGGGTAGCTATCTAAATGGGTTGTCTTTGAATTATGGCTATGCTCGGGCCAGAATTTCAAAACAATTCCTTTTGAATCTGCCATCAAAACTTCTTCCCTGTATTAGTGGATGATATCACTTGAGTGAAACACTGCTAGGATACTCCCTGGTATGCTTTGTCATTAACTCATGCTTATGAAACACGTTCAGGCGCTGCAGGTAAGAATTTATTGTCAAATGTAAACCAAGACAAACCCCCACTTAYTTAGTAATCTGGTGGTCAGAACCTGAAAATGATTCAGCATGACTCTTGAACCAAGAAGCCATCTCTCTCTGACTTCAGGGTTTTGGCCTGTTGTGTACAGTCTCTTGTCCTGTGTTGGGCCATACATTCTATGGCACTGTGTAGTAGCAAGGTTATTCCTTTACCCARTGCAAGAGTTTAGGATTGGGGAGATGGTTGAATTAGGGTTTTTTCTTTTTGTCTTTCTTTTTTTTTTGTGTGTGTTTGGGGTTTCTGATCAGGTTAATCACACCACACTACAAGATACACTTCCAAATTCACATGGAGTTTGCAGTTTGTTTTTTGTATTTGTGAGCCTGGAAAGTCATCTTTATTTCTAGACTAAAACCATTCTTTGCACATMGTTTTCTTTCCCGTACTGGTGTCCAGTATGAATGTTTACTGGGACTGGAATAAAAAAATAGCAGGGCAAGTTCTATAACAGARTGGTTRTGYATRTAATCTTAATCCWGTCAGCCMGTAAAGTCCAGAGAGAATGGCACTCTCTCACTGGTAAACTGGGATTCCCTGTCTTCCAATTGTAAGATCACAGATAAGACCTTAGGACTCTGCTTCCTTGTAGTTATGTTGTTGGCAGTAGATGAGAACAGGCTGAAGAGAAACCAAGACCTCAGAACGTTGTAATCACACATAGCTGATTTAGTTTGTGTTGTGGTATTACTTGTCAGGACTAGAATTCCTTGTCTCCTGCAGCAGATGACATCCTGAATGCACCAGTGAAGGTATTTTCAGTCTGTTTGGCTGATCATCTCTGTGAACTTGATGTATGAAGCAAAATAACATTCTTCATTATATTGGGAAAACTAGACTTTGAGACTGTGTTAGTGTGTGTATCTTTAATCTGAAGGCTGTTAAACATTCAGAATATACCCACTCTTAAGRCATAACTGGCAAATTCTACTTCTGATTTGAAAATGAAAGCAAACAAGTATTTGTGTTTTGGGTTGTCTACTTCTGAAACACCCTGTTTATAAAGTGCTTCTCAAACTGAAGTAGTTTTTGGGTACACAGCCAGTCSCAGAAGGATTACTGTTATGCTGGAGCTCATCATGGCATCTGTGCCATCTGATCTGAGGGCAGCTTGCGTTTGATTGGCAAAACTCTATCCTTGATATGGTTTGCTATGCAGTTGTTTCATGATAACRAGCAAGTTCTTTTATCATGGAATAATGTGAACCTGCATCTTAAAATTGTTTTCTTTCTTGAGGATGAAWTTTTTCCCCAATTTTTTYYCCTCGGAATTGTCAAGAAATTYGTGTTGATTTATGAGCTTGTATCTAAATGCTTGGTACATGCTGTGGCACATTGTCTTGGTCTGAAGTGTCAATGGTGCCTGCTAAAAACACATCCTGTAATTGCTGCAGCATGCTGGCGCTTCCGCTTCAAATGATGATGATGTGGTAGCCGGGATGCATTTATGTAGGAGTAGGGAATCAGGAATGCATAAAATTTGGAAAACKTGGGAATGTTGCATCATTGATACACATCCATTTTATCGCTGCTGTACGCATACATTAAAGTGAGGTAATATAAGTGGCCTAAGTGGTGATCTTGATAGGCTAAAAATAGAATTAATACAGGAGGTGTATGCATGAAATGTCTCATCTGTGTAATCCTTAAGAAAGCTTGTGCCTGCTGTGTTTTATGGTCTTTTGATTAAGCATAGCACAAGCYAGCATCATTATGTTGGAATAATTTATTAGAAAATCTTAAGTGGAGTTGGCATCCTGGAAGCTAAAGGCTGAAGGTGGCAAAACCATTTATTGGTACTTAAGTACAGATAGAAGGTTTCCATTGACAGTGGTAGAGTGGAGGCTGAATAACTATTTTCCTCAGGCTATAGCCTCCGGCAGGGTTCCTAGATGTATAATTAATTGCAACTTTAACTCCCCTTCTCCAGATGCTCATAGAAGGAAATGCTGCTAACCCTGGAAATACAGTATTTTTCAGGTATTTTTTGGTGTAATGTGCATCAGTGAGGACTACATGGAAATCTCCATTAGTTTAATTGAAGGTGGTTCAGGTGAAGAGTTACAAAGCTTGCTTATTACCTTGTTTTTAAGCTACTGCTTTTTTTCTTTTGAACTTAGTTTGAATTTTAAAAACAATTCTATATAAAGATTGGAATTAAGTTTTCTTCTCAGGATGAAACCCACAACACTTTTACAGACTGTCTTGGAATTTGTTTGCTGGGATTTCTCAAAATAGTTGAATAATTTGAAGTGATGTGATTCAACTCATGCTTTGAGTGAATGTCTRATAGTAAGTCTGGATTTGTGTGTTTAGGGGCTCAGAAAGTTAAGATTAGCTAGCTAATGAAATTCAGTTGATGTAAGCTTACTTGAAATGCTTTAAACCTTTGTAAATGCTCTCTMTGTGTATTGAATTGCCTTTTTTACTGTATTTTCAGCTTAACTGTTGTGCATATCTAGGGCTAGATTAAGCCCTGCCTCGGGTAGGTAATTCAGCACAACTGTCTCAGTGGTTGGAAGGATTGTATTGAGCCAGAAGGCAGTGGTTGATTTTTAAATCATGGTACTGCAGTAATGGAATTTGGGAAGCACTAGTATTGAAGAGCTTAAGTGTTTTTTTATAAGAATAAAATACTTAGCATCAGATGAAAGCTGTCATCACTTCAATTCTATGTAAGATTTAGCTTATCCAAGTAGTCAGAAGTGACATTTCTACTATGWAATTAATGTTGTCAAAATGAAAATGTGGGTAGGTTTCTTAATTGGGTAGGTTTGGTACTCTTTGTTGAAGACCAACATCTATTGATAAAGTATTGGATGTGTTTAAGGAATTGGTAATTCTTTAATGAGAGAGGAAAAGTRATGCTTCCTTAACTAGAAAGTTTGGACTGTGGTAACTTAAAAATTTCTCTTGTTAATTGAACACACTGCTTGTGACAGGTTCCTAGTCAGCATAGAACTTTAAATGTGTGTATTGGAGTGGGAARAGAATGGGGATTGTTATCTGGCTTAAGTAATTTACAGAACTTCAGAGATCAATATTCCATTAGATGGGTACTTTTTGCATACTTAAAGAAGATCCTCCAGTATATCAAGGATTTATGTGGGATAATGTATACAGAGTAAAAAGGTTGCCCAGCCCTTGTATCTTTATGATCATTCCAGCTTTTAGAGATCTGGTTTTGAAAATAAGTCAGTGCTTTTGCTATTACTGCTAGTGTCTGCCTTCTACAGAAGGCCTGATGTGGAACTCCAGGGAACAAGCTCCCTTCAGCTTCCTGCCCAGTCTGTAACCA